GCCGCCGCGGGCCGCCGGCGCGGAGAACCCTGGGACTTGCAGTGCGCGCCGCTTGCCACCTGCGGACAGTGAGGGACTGGGGAACTACGACGCCCAGAGGGCCCAGCGGCCGCGCCCGCCCACCCCACCCCTTCCCTCTCCTTTGCAAAGCCCCCCTCCCTGTTTTTTCAGCCCCCTCCCCCCCATCCCCCATGGAGCTCCATCCTGGCCAACTCCAACGTATGCACGCAGCACCGAATAGGCCCCCGGGGGGCGAGAGCGCCCCCAGTACACCGCTGCAAAGTTAGCACGCGACGCGCCCCCCTATCACCCCACGCCGGCTCCCCCCACCCTCAGTGTAGCCCCGCTTCCCCTCCCCCGCTCCCCGCGCGTCCGGGAGCCCCGAAAAGCCATGCACGGTTGGGGGGGGGTCTGGCGCACAAGCCCATGCACTTCGCCCCCAATCCCCTCTACCGGGCGGCGCCCCCTCCCCGCTCTTGGGATCATGGGCGCCTCCAGCCTCCGGGCTGTTGCCAAGCACCCCCTCCTCTGAAACTTAGGGGACGTCCCCGGATCTCCCGTGGCCCAGAGCGCAGAGTGGGCGCAGCGCCCCCGGCCCGTCCCCGCCCTGCACCCCGTGTCCCGGGCCTCGCCGGGCGCTGACTTACCTCGCGGGGCCGGGCCGGGGCCGGGCCGGGGCGCGCGGGGCCGGGGCCCGGAGTCGGGACTGGGCGCCCTCGGCCGCTGGCCTCCCGGGTCCGCGGCGCTCGCGCTGCCCTCGCTCGCGCTGCCCGCGTCGCTCCTCGCTCCGGCGGCGGCGGCGTCACTGCCCCTACAGTAACTGTACAGTACAGCCAAAGCCCCGTATGATGCTCGCGACTCCCTTCCTGGTTTCTCCGAGGGCAAGAGGGGTCCTCCCTTGTCTTAAAGGTGCCGCAGCCGCCGGCCCCCCCACGCCCAGCCCGCCCCCCCAGCCCGGCCTCGGAGGCCAGAACAGGCTCGGCAGGTCGGCTCTTGCCACGTCCCTGCCCTCCCGTGGGGCTTCGCCCGCTGCGCCGGGGAGACCGGGCTGTTATTAGGTTTTGGCAAGTTGGGGGGGTCCGGCCCGCCCCGGCGCGCCCCCCCCTCCTTTGACCTCTCCGCCCCGCTGCGCGGCGCAGTGCCAGCTTGCCAGCTTATCTGGCTCCAGAGCTCCCCGGGGCGCGGGGGGAGCGGCCCCCCGGGTGCAGGGGGTGGGGGCCTCCAGATAAACAGGCCCCCAGCCTCTGCGCAGGGCGGGGTGCGGGGGGGCTCGGGCTTTGCCCCCGACGCCTGGGGCGTGGCAGGATGGCAGCGGGGGCGGGGAGCGCTGTGCGCACTGCGAGGACCTAGGCGGGCGTGGGTCGCGCTGCCCCGGCAGCTGGGGGTGGGCGGCGCGGGAGCGGGTGGGGACCCTCGGGGCCAGGCGCCTGCCCTCCCGAGGCCTCAATTTGCCCAGCCGGCGCAAAAGATTCGGGGGCGGGCTTTCCAATGACAGCGCGGGTGCGCTGGGCTCCCGGGTCCCTCAATGAAACAGCCAACCTGCCCTCCTGCGATTATATAAAGGAGTCGCCTCCACCCGCTGCGCCAGGGGCGTAGCGGGGGAAGGGGTTGGCGAGGGGCGGGGAGGGCGGTTGTTTTCCCGGCTTCCCGAGTTCCCCCACCCAGCTGCGGGCCCCTGGGCGGGACGGGGAGCCGGCTCGGGACGCCTGGGTCCTGCGGGCAGCTCCCGCAAAGATCTTCGTGGCTTGCGGGGGACGGAGGTGGGGAGTGGGGAGGCGTTGGCTCAGCCCAACTTTTTTTCCCTGTCCATTTCTCCCACTTCCTCCCGGTCGTGGGAGAGGTCCGGCGGAGGAGGGGGAGGGCGAGAAGGGGACAAGCGGTGAGAACAGCGTGACCCGGCCCAGCCGGCCTCCAGCTGCATACAGTAGGCGCCCGGGAAGGGCTGGCTGGGTGCGATCAGCTACCGGTGGCGGGACGGCGGCGGGACGGAGGTGACTCCAAACCTCAGTTTCCCCTTCCGCATCCCCTGGGAGGGAAAATGTGGACACCCGCTTTCTCCGCCTTCAGTGGACGCTTGTCCAGTGACTGGATCTGCGCGAGGGTCCGTTGGCCTCCATGCTAACGTGCAATCCCGTTGTCATTAGCCTTATTTCTTGTTATTATTGTTATTATGACCACCCCTACCTTACAGGCAGGAAACTACCGCTGGCCTGCCTGAATTTACCCGCTCTGCTCTGACTTCAAAGCCTCGCCTCCCCCCAACACACACATTATTGCTTTTTCGCACAACATATTAAAAGCGCCTTTCCACACCCAAACGGGTTGAATTGGCTTTTGTAATAATAATTTGGCTTCAAGGGGAAACCCAGGAGGCCCCCAGAGGGGAAGTAACAGCCCCAGGACTTGCAGCCTGAAACCAGCCAAGTAGGTGGGAAGGGACCTAGGGAGGGGCCACGTGGGTCCTGGGTGAGGGTGGAACCCAGGAACTTTGCTCTGCGGACCTGGGAAAGAAACCCTCTTCCTTAAACCGCCAGGTCGTATCTCCGCCCCGAGCAGGAGGCCAGAGGAAGCCCCACTCGCAGGACCCGCGCTGCCCCTCCCCTGCCCCTGCCCCAAGCAGCGGTGACTCGGTTTCCCCCAAGGCACCGCCATCCACAGATAGGGAAAGGGGACAGAAAGCCTGGAGCAATTCACGGCCAACAACCTCACGCAGAAGGGCCAGGGAGTTCGCAGGGAAGATTGGCGTTTAATCTAATCCTTATTACCGCCCTGAGAAAGAGCAAGGAGGAGGATTTCCATCTTAGAGTTGAGGAAAGAGACCCAGAGAGGGACAATGAGCACGAATGTCAACTGCAGCCTCCTTTAGCTCTGGTCCCCTGAGCAGAGAAGTGCCTACCCTACCCTGTGGTGAAGGCGGGAGGGAGGGAGGCACCGATTTGTCCTCTCCCCCCACCTGTTGTCCCGCAGAAAAATGGCACAGTGGCCTGCTGGTGTCCTCCTAGCTACTCTGAGTCTAAGGCGGGAGGGTTACTTGAACCCAGGAGTTCAAGGCCAGCCTAGGCAACACAGGGACCCCTTCTCAGGAGAGAAAAAAAAAATCTAGTTTGATACTATTTTTTAAAAAGTATAAAAGATTGAGTTAGGAGCAGGGTCCAGCGGTGCCTGTCTGCCCTCTCAGCTCTTTGGGAGTTACAGGCAAGAGATGGCAAGTTCAAGGCCAGCCTGGAAAATTTAGTGAGATCCCGTCTCAAAAGAATCAAAGAGGGAAAAAGAAAAGGTTGACGTGTAGCTCAGTGATACAGACACACCCCGTCACCCCTGCCAGTCCAATCCCCAGTACCAGAAAAATAAACAAATAAGTAAATGATTTAATTACTGTGCGGCCTTGGACAGGTTACTTAGCCTTTCTGATCCTTTGAATCCTTTGGAGAGAGTAAATCGAAGAGACTTCTTAGTGTTGTAACAAGAGTAGAAAGGATGGTGACGGTAACAGCAGTATCTGCACAAGGAACAGCCTCCTAGGTGACAGATGTCATTCTGTCATTATTATCTGGGTCCTGCCCTAGATGGCCATGCAGGCTACTGTAGCTCATCAGTGGAGGTCTGTGCTTTGGGGTGTGCAGTGAACACTGCGCACAGACTCAGGGAAGGGAAGGGACTTGCGGATACACAGGGAGTCCTTGAGGGAAGAACTGGACTCCATCAGCTAGCCTGTGTGGAAAACTTACAGGCCCTCTACCCGCTGAGCTGTGTCCCCACCTCCTACAGAATGTTTTAAGCAATTCCTGCAGCCACCAGTGTGCTTCCAGGGGGCCGCTGAAGCCTGGCGGGGGGGCAGGGTGAGGTCCAGCTCCTGCTGTCCTCTTGGGATCTTTTGGATTCTGTGTCCTGTACATATTCATCACAATAAAATTGAAAAACCTTTAGAGCACCCTGACTTAACCCTTCAGCCTCCAGAGCGAAGAGGGGGCCTGGAAGGGAGAGGATATTTGCGAATCATACGTCTGATGGGGTCTGCGCCCTGCTACCCAGGAGCCTTTCAAGCTCCACAACAGAAAGATGGTGATCACACGAGGGTCAAGGGCTCAGTAGACATTTCTCAACCAGGAATCGGCCGCGGCCGTCAGACGCCAAGATGCTCGGCTGCACCCACCACCAGGCGACCCTGGTCCCACTCACCCAGCTCCTCCGCGGGCGGGGACTCTGGGAGCCTGCACCTGGGAAGCGGCCTGGGGCCCCTGGGAAGGCGGAGGGAGCAGGGCCCTGGGACCCGGAGTGCCACACCTAAGTAAGCACCGGCAGGAGCAGGCCAGCTGTCCACACACACAGGGCGAGGGCCATTCGCCATGATCACAAAGGGACTCAAATGTGGCCCATGCCACCCCGAGAGTCCCCGGCCACAGCAGGAGCAAGGGGACATCGCAGCAGTGTGGAGGGACCTGAGGACCTAGTGCTCAGTGAGAGCCAGACACGCAGGGCCACAGAGGGTGACCCAGTTGCAGGGGACATCCAGGACAGGGGAGTCTACAGACAGGAAGTGGATTTGTGGATTCGTGGGTTCAGGGGCTGGGAGGGGTCAGGGCTTGTTTTTGGAGCTGTACCCTCTAAAGGGGGAGCCCGGGGCTGGGGCTGGGGCTCAGCGGTGGAGCACTCGCCTAGCACGTGCGAGGCACTGGGTTCCATCCCCAGCACCACATTAAAACAAATGAAGAAATAAAAAAAAGTGGTATTTATTTAATTCTGTTTTAAATGAGCCAAGCCTGTCATCCCAGCCTCCAGAGGCTGAGGCAGGAGGACCACAAGTTCAAGTCCAGCCTCAGCAACTTAGCAAGACCCTGTAACTCAGGTATAAGTACCCCTGGGTTCAATCCCCAGTTCCAAAAAAAAAAAAAAAAATACATAACTAAATAAGAAATAGACGAGTGAATTCCATGGCACACCAATTATATCTCAGAGGAGATATATATATAATATATATATGCCCACATACACACACAGACATAAAATCATTAGTTGATGGAGAAGAAGCATTTTTTAGTTTACAAAGTTCATGTCTTCATGGTCTTTTTATTTATTTTCTTTGGGGAGGATACCAGGGATGGAACTCAGGGGCACTTGGCCACAGAGCCCCATCCCAGCCCTATTCTGCATTTTATTTTTATTTTTTATTTTTTTAGAATTTTTAATATTTATTTTTTAGTTCTCGGCGGACGCAACATCTTTGTTGGTATGTGGTGCTGAGGATGGAACCCGGGGCCGCACGCATGCCAGGCGAGCGTGCTACCGCCTGAGCCCCATCCCCAGCCCTGCACTTTATGTAGAGACAGGGCCTCACTGAGTTGCTTAGCACCTTGCTGTTGCTGAGGCCGCCTTTGAACTTGCCATCCTCCTGTGTCAACCTCCTGAGCCACTGGGATTACAGGCACCAGTGCTTTTGGCTTCATGGTCTTTTTAATCTTCAAAATGCCCAGGGTGTTTTTAAAATATTTTTTAGTTGTCAGTGGGCCTTTATTTGTTTATATGTGGTGCTGAGAATCGAACCCAGGGCCTCCCACATGCCAGGCAAGTGCCCCTACCACGGAGCCCTAACTCCAGCCCCATGCCCAGGGGAGTTTAAAGAATGTCTGCCAACTGGCAGGGTGGCACACACCTGGAACCCCAGCTCCTCAGGAAGCTGGGCAGGGAGATGGCAAGGCCCAGGCCAGCCGGGGCAACTTAGGAGGCCCTGTGCCAGCAATAGACAGGGCTGGGGCGTGGAGCACTGGCACGGTCCCTGCTTCAGTCCCCTCCCCCCAACACAGAGACCGTCTCTCAGGTACAACAGAAGCCACCCAGGTGCTGAGGCTGAAGGTGGGAAGGGTGTGAGCCTGGGCCCAGCTCTGAGCCTCTTGCTCTTCCTGCTGAGCACACACATGTGCACACACACCCAAGCTGCTTTTCTTTTCTCGGCCCCCGTTTACCAACAGTGAGTGTCATATCTCCCTCGAGTCCTCGGGAGATGGCAGGTGAACCAGGGGTCAACGGTCCTTAGACGCTGGGCCAGATGGCCTCACGTTTTTGCTCTGGTTTTCAGTGTTCTTTCTTCTCTGACCCCAGGGAAGAGGAGATAAGGGAATTTCCCTGGCTGCTCTATCGGGCACTGCAGAGCTGGGGGACTTAGGCCCCAAGATTTTACAAGAATTCACACCTGGTTTTGGGAATCAGAGGCGACACCCCCAGAGGAAAGTCTGAGAGACAGAGATGGGGGGCAGGGGTTGAGAGAGAGAGAGAGATCCAGGAAAATTCTAGTACCCAGGGTTTCTGAGCCTGATGGGTCCCTATGACAATTCTAGAACATTCTGTGTAGCCGTTAATCTGCCTGGAAGCCCACACAGTCTACTCTGTCCTGTCGGTCATCTTGGCTCCCTTCAGAGGGAAGATCTGGAGGAAAATGTCCACAGCGCTTTCTTTCTTATTCACTGACCGGGGCACCTCGTGTGGTTAAAGTTCCCCCGATTGATAAAAATAATCAAATAGAATTCCAGAAAATAACGGCAACCAAGAAAGTAAAGCAGAAGATAGGAAAGATGGTCATTAGGGCTTAGGAACATTTAACTTTTAAAATCATTTAATATGTTTGAAAAATCTTATGTAACTAATCATAATATGATGAGGAAACCGGTAAGATGTTAAACCAAATTAAGGAGAATTTGAAGAACTATCCGTTGACAAACAAGAAACGCAAGAAGGTATTTACAAATAGAAGTAAAATGTGCTGTCCTGAAGGAACGTGGCTTTTCATGAACAAGAACTGGTGGCCATTTCTCTCGGTTTTCTACAACTCGGGGAGTCCAGAAGTGGTTCAAAGATAGCAAAAGGCAGTTTAGGAGGCTGAGGCAGGATGATGTCCAGTTCAAAGCCAGCCTCAGCACAACACAGTGAGACGCTGTCTCTAAATAAATATAAAAGTGGGCTGGCGATGTACAGAGGGCCCTCAGGATAGGCCAACATGCAGTTTCTTGCCTTGGAGCACTTTTTTAAATGGACCTCAGAGAGACTGCTTCCCAGGAGATGACCTATGAGCAGAGATCTAAAGAAGACAGCCAGGTGACCACTTAGAAATGAGACACAGCGCAGGCAAAGGCCCTGAGGTGGGCCTGAGCTGCTTACTTACCCGGAGCAGCCCAGAAGCCAGGGGGCTGCAGCCAGCCTCAGGGGTCACCGCGGTGAGTGTTTTGGACTTTAGCTCTTCCACCGAGCCACAGCCCCAGCCCTGGACTTCTTCATGCTTAAAGTGTCGTGGTTTCCTCTGTGGAAAGGAGCACGTCTCTGACACCACGGGGATGGAACCTGAGGACCTTTCAGACACACAAGGACACACGGTGTGTGACTCCGTGGACAGGAAACACCCAGGGAAGGAGAGTCCACAGCCTGGAAGTGAACTCCTGGATGCAGGGGGCTGGGGAGCGGACGGGGTGACTACTCATGGGGAAGAGTTTCTCTTAGGGTGATAGAATGTTCTAGATAGAGATGATGCTGGCTCAATTCTGAATATAAGAAATACTACTGAATTGTACATTTTTTTTGGGGGGGGAAGCAGTACTAGGGACTGAACCTAGAGGGTTTGTTTATGTACTTACTTGTGTATTCGCTTTAAAATTTTGAGATAGACCTTGCTAAATTGCCCAGCCTGGCCTCAAACCCGTGGCCCTCCTGCCTCTGCCTCCTGAGTCACTGATCCTAGGTGTGTGTCACTAGGCCCAGCCTGGAAAATTCTTAGATGTAGCTCAGTGGTAAAGTGGCCTGGGTACAATTTTCACAATTTTTTTTTTTTAACAAACAGATAAACAAAAGAAAGAAACCAAAGATTGAGGTGGGGTGGCTGTATGCTTTTGTCAAACAACTGCTGTGCGCTAGCAGTGCATTTTATCATTGACTTTATGCCCCCATTAAACACACACACCCACACCTGCCCCCTAAAAAAAAAAAAAGAGCCGCTTCACCAAATAGCTACCAAATACCTAAATATATGCATCACCTTTGACTCAGAGATTCTGATCTAGAAATTTATCCAGAGAAGATAATGAAGGATGCACTTCAAGATTCAAATGCATGCGACGCGTGGTGGCCATGTCTGTGATCCCGGTGACCTGGGAGGCTGAGGCAGGAGGATGGCAAGTTCGAGTCTAACCTCAGCAACTTAACAAGACCCTGCCTCAAAATAAAGAATAAAAGAGCTGTGGACGTAGCTCAGAGGTTAAGAGTTCCTGGGTTTAATCCTTGGTGCCAAAAAGAAAACAAGATTTAGATGCAAAGATGTTCAAAAGGTAGCATTGTTTATTAAAGCAGAACAGAGGCGATGTAATAGGAGTTTGGGTGAATAAATATCCAAGATTGATATTCAAAATATTTAACCACCTGATAAACAAGGGCGTGGAGTGGACGCTGTCCCACAGCCACGAGAGTCTGCTTCTTGTGTGAGCTGGTGGAAGGAGGGAGGCTGTTCAGCTGCAGAAACCATCTTGGAAATGAATGCATGTGAGATGCCAGGTCTGTCCAGTTGAGGAAGGTTGGGCTGGGGTGCAGCTCAGTGGCAGAGCACCTGTTTAGGGAGCTTGAGGCTGGGTTTCTGTCCCAGCACTGGAGAGAGAAAAGAGCATGCCCTGCACCAAACTCCCAGAGAGGCAGATCAGCACAACATCAGGAGAACCTTCTGGAAGACTTCGGGTGGAGTCTGATGGAGTCTCGTTCCAAAGTGCCAACAGCAGCTGACGTGGGCACAGTGGAGCTCGGTGGCGTGCGCCTGTAATCCCAGAGCCTTGGGAGGCTGCAGAGCGAAAGTTCAAAGCCAGCTGCAGCAACTTAGTGAGAACCCTGCCTCAGATAATAATAGAGAGCTGTGGATTTGGCTCAGTGCTTAAGCACCTCTGGCTTCAATCAGTACCAAAAATAAACAAGTAAATACATAAATAAACAGGTGGAAACAAGTCAAACGTCTGTGCACAGACGAGCGGACACACCCGATGCGGTCTGTCCACACACTGGAATATCATGCAGCCTTAAAAAGGAAGGGATCCTGACACCTACAGGAGTGTGGATGGACCTAGTGAAATGAGTCAGAGTACACACCACACGCTGCAGGATCCTCCTGCATGAAGCTCCCGGAGCCCTCAGAGCCACAGAGGCAGGAAATAGGAGGTGGGGCTAGTGTTGAAAGGGGCAGTGTGGGGTGATGGAAAGTTCTGGAGACGGACAGTGGGGACGGGTGCATAACATCAGGAATGCACTTAATACCACTGAGCTGTGCACTGGGAATGGACTACAATGGCTGGGCTGGGTGGCACATGCCTGTTCCAGCACTTGGGAGACGGAGGCAGGAGGATCACTTGAGCCCGGGAGTTCCAGAGCAGCCTGGGCGACATGGCAGAACGCATCTCTGAAAAAGAGAAAAGAACCGAGAGGAGTGGACCCTGGTGCCCACCACGTCCCTCCGTGGTGTTTGCGAGGGCACCCTTACTTTGTGTCGGGAACATTGCAAACCCAAGCTCCAATAACCCTGGATTCACAATGGGTAGAGCTGGCCTGCAGGTGAGCTGGCCTGCAGGGCCGCCTGGGTGCAGCCCCCTCCAGCGCGTCCTTGCAGGCTCACCGCAAAGTCCCCTGGGCTCCCTCTCCAAGGAACTCATAGTTACAGCTGACTTTTTTTTTTTTTTTTTTTTTTGGTACTGGGGATTGAACCCAGGGGCACCTAACCACCGAGCCACATCCCCAGTCCTTTTTATTTGTTTATTTTGAGACAAAGTCTCACTAGGCTGCTAAGGCTGGCCTTGAACTTGCCATCCTCCTGCCTCAGCCTCCTGAGTCACTGGTATCACAGGCCTGTACCGCCACGCCTGGCTCTGCGGACCGCTAACACTGGAGCAGCCACCAGGGTGGCTAAACTGGGTGTGCAGGTGTGGAAATATTTCAGCACTGGCTGGCAAAGGGCTGCTCGTTGGGGTACCCCACGTGCCCCCAGTCCTGCTGACCCGAGACAGCCCTGCGCATCACAGGAGGAATATGTTCTGAGCAGCAAACTGGCAGCCCCTGAGTTGACACCCGGGCAGACACCTGGAGGGGCACTGGCACCTGGGGGCTAGGAGCTTACTTTGTATTCACCCAGAAGGTAGCACGGAGAGCTGCTCTGGGCTGGTGCTAGGTCCACCCAAGCTCAGTCTTCCCATCTGTGCAATGGGCCCTTCAGGCTGAAGGGCCCTGCCGTCACCTAGCTCCAGCCCCTCTGCACAGGGGCGCTGGCCTCCTGGGCTGCTTCCTAGGTCCTGTCAGAACCGTGCCATGTGCTCCAACTGAGGGTGAAGGCCTGGCTCAAAGCCCCACTTGCCTACAGCTGTCCATAGTCTGGTCCACTTAGGGCTATGGATCTCATCTGGGGATCAATCCTGACTTCCAGGGGACACAGGCAGTGTCTGGGGACATTCATGGTTATCACATGCTCCTGGCACAGAGTGGATAGAGGCCAGGGGTGCTGCTGAGAACCCTGCAATGCCCAGGGTGCCCACCCAGAGAATGACATGGCCTCACGTCTGTGGGGCCCAGGAGAGAAGTCCTAACTGAAGTCTAACTTCGGTCCTGCATTTCTGCTTGCTTCTTCCCCCTCTGTGCTAGGTGGACAAGACAGGGACCCAGGGGAACTGTTCTGCAGCCAGGGTGCTCTGGGGGCTGGGCGGGCTTGAGCTTTACCTGCCTGCGATCAGTGGAGCCTGGAGAGGGACTCCAGATGAAGGAGGTCAGCCCTCTCCAGCAGCTGCGCAGGGTCACAAGTGGCCCCTGGGCTTCAGGCATGGGCGGTGCGGACGGGGAGAACGTGGCAGCCTTCTGGTGTGGCCAGTCCCGGGTTCTGTCTTTTTTTAAAAATCACCGCAATTTAGAGAGGGACTCCTCCCTCCCTCCCTGCCTCCCGCCGCCTGCCACGTGGGCTCCCCCTGGGGCGCAGGCTTCAGTTTCCCTTTGGTGTGGGGGTCGGGCTGGGGACCCGCGCACCGCACTGGCGGCGGCAGGTGCAGGGCCGGGTGGTCGCGGGGGCCAGCGCCCAGTCCCGGTCCCCTGCAGGTGCGGCTGCTGCGGGCTCCCTTTCCTGACTTCCCTGTTGACAAGGGGTCAAGGTCAAGCCTGCCTTGTGTGACCTTGAGCAGGGGACGCCAACCCCTCCTCACGGTGGCATCCTTTCCTGTTCCTCCCCAAAGCGGGGCTCAGAATCACGCTGCGCGGGGTGGTGGGCGACCTGGGCCCTGTGCGCGGCGGGGACAGCCCTGCCGTGTCCCCGCGGGCGGGGGTGGGGGCGGGGCAAGGGCAGGGGCCGACCCTCGCGGCCAGCGGGGGACCCTTGGCCCAGAAACCCCGGGAAGGAGGCCGCTGCTCCTGCTGCGGAGCGGGCGGGTGAGCACTGCCCGGCTGGAGGCCGCCGCCCGGGGGAGCCCAGCGCACCTGCCCGTTCCCAGGCCCGCGCTTCCGCCGCGACCTGGAGGCTCCCCGCCCCATCCGGGGCTCCCGGCAGGTGGCGGCGGGCTGCCCTGTCCCTCTGCTGGGCGTCCCTGGGCAGGGCCCGACCCCTCACCTCCTGTGCCCAGCACCCGCCGCGGGCGAGGCTGGCCAGGTGTTGGGGACTGTGGCCGAGTCACCGTTGGGAGGTTAGATGGCCAGGCCCGCTGGTGTGTGTCAGACCGTGGGAGGGCGGGGCCTTTAAAAATGGCTCTGTTGAGATAAGTCACCTGTAATACCGCCACCCAGGAGTTCCCTGGTTACACCACGTGTTCACCAAGTTGTGCCCCTCTTACCACTAATTCTAGAACACTCTGTCACCCTAAAGAAGCCCCCCCCAGCCCTGCACCCCTGGATCCACGTGTCTCTGGACATCTCCTATTACTGGGTCACACACTGTGGCCTTGTGTGTCTGGCTCTCACTGAGCATGAGGTCCCCAGGTCCATCTATACTGCAGCTGTCACCTCGCTCCTCCTTGTGGCCTAGGACGCTCCAGGTGTGAATGGGCCAGGCTGTGCATACCCTCACTCATCAGGACATGGGGTGACCCCTCTGTGGTGTCCTGAGTCCAGCTGCTGTGAACCAGCGTAGAAGACAGGCGGCACTGCCCAGCACAACTGTGCCCCCCCCCCAGCCAGCTACACCAGGGCCTGGCCTCTTCTGAGGGTGAAAAGCCCACTATGAAAATCGGCACATAAAAATAAAAATGGCGGGCTGGACGGCAGGGCGCTGCTTAGCACAAGATGGCTCTGGGCTCCACCCCAGCACTGCAAAAATAAATAAAGTTAATTTTTTTCCAATTAAAAAACCAGGGTGCAGCTGGGCGCAGTAGTGCATGCCTATAATCTCAGAGACTTGGGAGGCTGAGGCAAGAGGATGGTGACTTCAAAGCCAGCCTAGCCAACGGCAAGGCGCCGAGCAGCTCAGTGCGACCCTGTCTCTAAGTAAAATACAAAATAGGGCTGGGGTGTGGCTCGGTGGTCGAGAACCCCGAGTTCAATCCCTGGTACCAAAACAACAACAACAACAAAAAAACTGGGGTGCAATGGCACAGGCCTGTAATCCCAGGGATTGAGAGCTGAGGCAAGCAGGTCGCAAGTTCAAGGCTCTGAGTAACTTAGAGGGACCCTGTCCCCACTAGAAAACAGGAAGCCACGTTATTTATTTGTTCTATGTAACAAATCATGTCCCTACGATGCGGAGACAGGAGACAGGGCTCCTGGAGGTGATGTGGTGGGCTCGGCCCGGGGTGGCTCCACTTGCCCCCAACCACCCCTAGGCCCTGTGCTGTCCCCAGCCAGGCTCCTGGGAGCTTGTGGGGGGCAGGGCTGCTGGGAGCCACAGAGGAGCAGGGACAGGGGCAGAAGGGGGCCAGGAGGAGGAGCAGCGAGGGGAGGCAGGTGCACTGCCCTGCTCTGGGGCTCCCTCCCCAACATCGTGCTCTCCGTGGGTGAGCGGCAGCAGCACCTTCACTGGGGGCCACCATGAGAGGGAGGACTCCCTCCTCACCCAGCCTGGCTCTGCAGCCACAGGACGCTGACCCTGAGTCAAGGTCATTTCCCCCTCGCTGCACTCTGGGGGTGTTGGGCATGAGGCAGAGACCCCCTGAAGTCGGGCACCCAGGGAGGCAGGGAGGAGGCGGTGGCTAGGTCCTGAGGGACCAGGTGAAGAGGCTCAGAGGCCAGCACCCGGAATGGACGTTGGCTTCCTGCGTCCTGGGGGTGGGGGCCCAGATAGGGGGGACAGGGTGGCTGAAGCCAGTCAGCAGGGGTCCATTGAGGCCTGAGGAGGGCTGAGGGCTCAGTGTGAGAGGAAGGGGGCTCAGGGGCTCTGTATCTCCACTAGCAGGGGCAGGGGCAGGCCAGTGTGGGGAGAATACCCATGGGGTGACAGTTACCGTCCCAGACACCTCCAGCCTTCCTGGCCACTGCCCAGCGACCCCACAGCCAGCAGGGGTGCCCACACTTGCCCCCCTCTTCCCACCTGGAGGGAGGCTGGGGCAACCCTCTGTCCCTCTGGGGCTCTCCACAGGAGGGACAGCTCAATGCTGCCCACAGTGTCCTCTTGACTTTTTGTGGAGCTGGAGGAAACCCAGGGCCTCAGACACGCTCTGCCACTGAGCCACGTCCTCAGCCCCTAGTTCAGGTTTATTTTGAGCCGGTCTCACGAAGTTGCTGAGGCTGGCCTTGAACTTGCGATTCTCCTGCCTCGGACTCCTGAGTCACTGGGATGACAGGCGAGGCCACCAAGCAGGGCCAACATTCAGAGTTCTTCACGAGGAATCCGAGTGGTCAGGCTTCCCCGGGGCCACCACCTATTGCTCCCCCAAAGGCCACAGAGGGTTGACCGGTTGGCGAGTTCCCGCTGGCAACTGCCAAGGAGTGCCCCTGCCCACCCTTCTCTACCCCCCCCCAGAAATTAAAGGGTGGGTGCTGGGCTGGGCGGGGGCCTCCCAGCCCTCTGGCACACGCCTCTGCCCCAGGCCTAGGGCCTGGCCACGCAAGGCTCCCGGGGACCCACTGCCAGCCCTGCTCAGCAGCTGCTTGGCCTGGGACACTGCCCCCACCCCTGGGGCCTGGCCGTCTGGGCTCCGCTCGTCCCCGAGGCTGCGGCGGGCTCTCTCCTCACTTCTGGACCTTGGCACCTCAGCCCAGCTGGGCTTTAGCAGAGGGCCAGTCTCTGGTCTTCTGGGGCCCCACAGGCGCTGTGGGGGAGCCCCGTGTTTGTGTCCTGGAGTTACATGGACAGCAGGGTCATGGAACCACAAGTCACCTCACCTGGCTGGGGCTCAGGGCCACAGAGATGACATGGGGACAGGAGACCGTCTGGCCCACTTCATGAGGGCACACGGGAAAGGGTGGCTGTGGTCACAGGCCCCAGGGCCAAGGATGGGCTCCTTCCTAGGAGCTGTCTCCCTTAGCCTCCGCACACAGAGTCACCAAGGGGCAGAGGGGCAGGACCTTCCCTCAGGTCACAGGTGGGGACTACCGGGAGCCCCTTGCCCGGAGCCTGAGGCCCAGGTGGTGGCTGTGGTGGGTCCTGCCCTGGCCAGCCCTGTCCCCAAGTGTGCTCTGTGGGCTTCAGGCTGTCGCCTGGGAAGCTGGGCAGAACCCTGAGCTTGGCCCTCAGGCCCCCGGGCCGCATGCCCAGCCTCTCCACTGCCTCCCCACAGCCCAAGCCAGGCCACGTTGCCACAGGGACCACAGAACAGGTCGCACCGGCACAGGGACCCACTGGGCCTGTTGCTCCAGGTGTGCGAGCAGGCACACCTGGTGGCGCGCGGGGGCAGGGCGGCCGGCCAGTTTCGTTTTGAGCTAGGCCTCCTCCTTCCTCACCCTGCGCTGCGGCTGGCTTTCTGGGAAACCCTGTAGCGGCTTCCTCTGAACCCTCTTAACCCGGCCGGAGTCCTCAGTGAGTTCCGGCACCAGGCTTCCTGCCGGAGACACCTCCGCCCCAGGAGACTCAGCCCCGGGGCCCACCCGTCCACCTTCCAGAAGGTTCTGGGGTGCCCCTGCCAGCATCCCCTTCACACTGAGGCCCAGGCTCTGGACTCAGAAGCTTGCTGGCCCTGGTAAGGGCTGTCTCTGATCATGGCCTAGCCCCTTTGGAACTGTGGACTCCGGGCCAGGCTGTCCTCTGGGGAGGTGTCCTGGGCACTGCAGGGTGCTGGACTGTGGCCTCCACCCACACCAGGTTAGGAGCTCTCCCAGTCCTGAGAGCCACCAATGTTCCCGGATGTGGCCAAATGTTGGGGCAGGGGTGGTGGTGGTCAGGATTAGCCCAAGCCCTACCCCTGGGCAAATAACAGCTGGAGTGTCTGGGAGCAGTGGCCCCCGGGGCACCCATGGGCACTGAGAGCAAACATGTTCCACCTCCGCAGCAAAATAAAATGTGAAAAGCACACTAGCAACTTCCCTTCAGCCACAGGTTAAGTGCTGACACTCTGCTCCACCCGGTCACAGAAACACTCCAGGTGAATGCCACCCGTCTGTCTCCCTCTAGTTCCCGGGCAGGGTGCAGCCTGGAGCCTGAGGCGCAGCCAGCTCTACAAACCTGTTTTGTCGTTACCTGCCCCGCCCCGGAGCCCCCAGCACTCAGCGCTATTAGGGTCAGAGAAGGAAATGCAGCGGACCCAGGGCCAGGGCTGGTCCCATGTGAAGAATTCCACAGGATGAGCTGGCAGGCGGTTGCCCAGGACCCCGAATTAATAACTAAAACCCTTAGGGCTGGGGTGCAGCGGGGTGGCAGAGTGCCTGCCTAGCATGTGCCAGGTTTCACGTCCCATCCCCAGAATTAGAAAACAGCACTGCGCCTCACTGAGTGGGGACTCAGGCGGGTCCTCTGTGGCCAACGGCCTGGTGGGGGAAGCCAGGAGTGACCTGGCTGGTGTCGCATGTGGCTGGGGAGCATCGAGCGTGCAGGCATGGGAACGGGGTCTGGCCGGCTGCCAGGCAGGCACACTGCCCTCTGGGGTGCTGCTGCCAGGCAGAGCTAGGGAGAACCTGGCAAACGCTCCAAGCCATCTTCCCCCAACCACAGGTCAACCCTGCTCTCCTTGATCTGGGCGTTTCTGCCACTCGCACATGGGGCAGTGCTGCCAGCACACCTCCAGCACATCTACTCGTTTTGTGATGCTGGACATGGAACCCAGGGCCTCAAAGGAACTATCCACTGGGCCACACCCCAACTGGCCTTTTTCCTTGGTCAAAACAAGGAACCCAACACTTTATGAAAAGTCTCCCAGCCACAGGGAGCTCGGGGAACAAGCTGGGAGCGCCCGCGGCCTGCTGCAGTGCCACCTTGCAACTCACGCCCCAAACAACCACTCGACATGATTCACAGAGCCCACCTGCTGCCCAGAGAATCTGTGGCCAGCAGTGGGAGCAAGGGCCAGGCGTCTGGGCCTCCAGCTGTGGAGAAGGGCCGGCCTGGATTAGAGGTGGCCAAGGGTGGGGATGACTGCAGGCAGTGTGGGGAGGCCAGGGGAGACCCTGGAAGCCAGCAGTGGAGGGAAACGGGGAGGCCAGGGTTTGTGTTCTTGGCAGTACCTGGAGCAAACCCAGGGCTGCTCTCCACTGAGCCGCGTCCCCAGCCCCTTTTATTTTTTGAGACAGGGTCTCCTTAAGTTATCAAAGATGGCCTTGGACTTGCAGTCCTTCTGCTTCTGCCTCCCAAAAACCTAAACTCTAAGAGGGTTTGGGCAGAAACCAGCAACGCTGTTTGAATGAGGCACCAACTCATGTCCTCTTTGGTGTCTGCAGAAAAAAAAAAAAAACAATACAGGACTAAAAAGTCTCCCAAGAAAAGATGGTGCTCTGGCCCTCTGCAGCAGCACAGGGCCCGCGGCCCACAGAGAAGTGCGGCCTGTGCGCCGTGCTCAGGAGCATGGAGGGGCTGCTCTGGGCCGCAGCTGCTTCAGAGGCCAGAGGGAGGCCTTGCAAGCAGCCCAGATGCGGCTTCCCTGGGTGAGTGGGCTGAGGTTACGCAGCCTTGAAGGCAGGACGGCTGGGCCTCGGGCCATGCAGGGACCACAGAGGAGGGCCCAACAGGAATGAAGGACGACACGGGAACTGGGATAGGACCTCATCCGCTTTGCTTGTAACCAACTGGGGCTGAGCAGCTGGCGGCCCTCAGGAGAGTGACGTGCCTGGGCATTGGCTTGTGATTCGTGGGGCGGGCACCGGTGACAGCCACCACATCTGTGGGGCCTGTTGCAAGTGCAGGGACACAGGCCTTATCTGCTGCATCTGCTGGGGTTTCAACCACACAGAGCGTGGAGACCAGCACTTCCTCTCTACAGAACTGTTTCAGCTTAGCCCCGGGGAGGGAGTGTGCTCCCTGGAGCCTGGAGAGGCCTCCCTGGTGCGCTGGGCAGGAGGCAGGGCTGCCTCCTGTCCAGACTCATGGCGAGGGGCCGAGCAGCCAGAGGGGGAGGCAAGGAAGTGGTCCCGCTGCAGGCCCTCGGCCCCTGGCCCCCGGCTTTCCAGGTGAGATGCTGAGGCAGGGCCTGGGCACTGGGGCTTCAGCCCTGGAGGGCAGTGGCGGCCCTGATCCTCGGTGGCCTCCAGGGAAGAGACCAACACGGAGAAGACCCGCGCAGCAAGGAGGCGCAGTGGGCAGCGTTTGCTTTTCCTCTCCCTGTTTTGTTTTAAACTAAGTAAGCAGGTTCCTAGACGGTGACAGGAGCAGTGTCCCTCCCAGGCCAGGCAGCAACCCAGGGGACATGAGGACACAAATGTTCCCAGGGCAGGAGGGGCCAGAGGGTGGGCACAGATGGGGCAGGCAGGCGGCCAGACGCGGGAGCCCGGGTGGCCGTCACACAGCGGTGCGCGTGGGTGTGCTGGGCTGGTTGAGCCGCAGGGTCCTGCACAGCCAGCCGGCGAAGTCCACCTCTTCAGCCTCTGAGCGCTTGATGAAGGCATGGCCCTGCAAGGGAGAGGAGCTGAGGGCTGGGCACGGTGGGCGCCGACCCAGGGAGTGCCAAGGGCCACCCAGGACCACATACTTGGCTTCAGGGGGACCCAAGCGCTCAGTAATGCGGAAATGACACAGAAGTGACGCCTGCAGCTGGGGCAGGGCGGGAACACCAGCCCCACAGCCTGAGCTCCCTTCAGCATGCTGGACACAGGGGAGGGGCTCTTCTCTGGAGTGGGTGTCCCTGGCCTCTACTGGACAACCCCCGAGACAGGACCACTCCACCAAGGACATCTGATCAGGAACAGCCCCATCTGCCAAGGGAGCTCTCTGCATGGTTCCCAACTCAAAGAATGTCCATTCAGTCAGTCACTGGCCACAAAGCTCTGGAGCCCCGAAATGTGGCTCAGGGACGAGGGTGCACTGCTGAGGAGCTGGGGCAGGAGGGGCTTCAGGGTCACCAGAGGGTGTCATTTGGGATACATGCCCCTGACTGAGTCAAGAACACAACTGGACTGGCACATCCAGTTGGCTGGCACAAGAGTGGTGAGCAGGCTCCTACCCGTGCCCGGGCTGAGCCAGGGCCTCCCGTGTGCAGCAAGTGCGAACCACCAAGCCTTGCCCCAGAGCCCTGGGTGACTTTTAAGGAGTTCAGACACCTGGTGCCCTGCTCCACCGCCCTGCACAGGTGTTGCTTCTGTCATACACTTAAGATCTGGGTGGGTGCAGGGCCCTCTAGAGAAGCAGCCGGAGACGACCCCTTCCCACCCAGGCCTTGTGCTCCTACCACAGCCAAGGGTCTCAAAACTCAGCTGTCCCCACAACCAACTGATGGGGGCCATCCTGGAGGAGGCACTGAAGTGGGCCTCCTGGGCAGGGGGCAGCCAGTTGGCACAAGGGCATCCAAGAGTCCTGAGGTGAAGCACTGCAGGGCCAAGGAGGGCACAGCGAGGAAGCGGCAGGCTGTGCAGCCTGACCCATGGGGCCTACTGGCGCCACAGGCAAAGGGCACAGCTTGCGTTTTCAAAATGCCCTGTACCGACATCTCCACCGTGGACTTGGGAGACTGAGAATCAACGTCTGTGTCTCTAACGCAAAGCTCTTTCTTGGGGCACATGAAGCAGCGGCTATCTAGGATGGACAGCAGCTCAGACCCGATGAGGCCTGCTGACTTGTGCTGGGGACATGCTGACCATGGGCGGTGGATGCGGCTGGGAGGGCTCGTGTCGGGCCTGCCTGCCCAGGAGAACATGCTGGCTGGGCCCCAGGTGGCTGTCTCCTTGTTCCCACCTGCTGGGGAGGCAAGCTCTGGCCAATAGCCGGGTGTAGCAAGAAGTGTGAGCTTTAAGGACACCTGCAGTCACCTCCAGGGTGCAGAAACCTTGGCCTGCTTGGGGGAGTTTGGCCAGGGCGGAGCATCTGAGCACACCAAGAGCACATCCTGAGCCTCAGGGGGATACCGCCCAGAGCGACAGAGCACCCAGGCGCTGAGTGGGACTCACCCAGGGTGTATGACAAAGGCAGTCACCTCTGGGAGCTGCTCAGGACTAAGGGCCCGGCCCACAGCCACCCAGTGCCTGAAGCGGGCACTGCCCAGGAACCCTGGTGCCATCCTTCTGGAGAAACACACTCTGCTCTCCCAGCCCTGCGCCCAGCCAGCTTGGACTCCTCCTGCTCGCTCACAGCAGGGCCCCACGTGCACCCTCTCCACACCCAGCCCAGGGTCCAAGGGCACCACTCACCATGAGCATCTTCAGATCTGCTCGTTCTGCTGGGTTCTTAATGAGGCTGGGGACAGGCACAAGACAGGGCAGTCAGTTGGTGGCTCGGGGGCCAGTGTTTTGGACTGTGGTGAGGCTGCTTGTGTCACCCCAGCCCATGAGGAGACCTGTGCAGGAGCCTGGGACTCTGGTTCACTGCTGCCTAGCCACCTGGCTCCTGCCCAGACAGACACGGGGCTCCATCACTGCCTCCGGTCTCCAGAGCAAGACGCCCCCGGGAGAGAGTAGGACAAAGGCCTGAGGGGGAGGCAAGGGGAAAGGGGCGGGAGCCCCTCCTGCCTGGGCACAGCTGGCAGCAGCCATAGATGTGTATCTTTCTACCACATCCCCAGCTCTGGTTATTACTGGAGACGGGGTTTGCTAAGTTACCGAGCTTGGCCTTGAACTGGCCACCCTCTTCCCTCAACCTCCTCGGCCCCTACAGGTAGATCTCTAATAAAAACGTCAAGCTCAGAGGCCCAGGGTCAAAATGGAAGTTTTTCCTTTAAAAAAACAGAACAGCCTGAGGACAGCAGCTCAAAGCAGCTCAGGGCTGCAGAGTGGTTCTCAGACACAAAGGGCCACCAGGGCACATCTGATGGGTGACATCCACAGGCGGCTGCCTCCAGGGCACCAGGGTGCTGCATGAGGCCCCAGCACGGACACTGCAGGTTCCTTGATGGGCAGGAGAATCCAAGTAGGAGACCCCAGGAGAGACCTGCTGGGCAGGCACTCCTTCCTCCTGCCAGTGGACAGCAGGTGGCGGCTGCGGATAGACCAAGGACCCAATCCAGGTTCATGCACAATTTTGGGGGCAAGCGGGGAGGGCAGGTGGGAGCCACATCCCGGAAAGGGCCTCTGGCTCTCCTGGGGGTTTTAAGTGCCTGCCAAATCCTGCCACCGACTGCAGGATTCTCTAGGGACATCAGTGGGACCGAGAGCAGGAAGAGCTCGAGTGAGCTGACGGGGGTCAGGGCCCCTCCTGCCCCGCTGTGCATGGCCATGCCAGTCCTCACCATTTATGCACGAATTCCTGGAAGTGTGGGCTGAACACGCCACTGGGTAGCTTGGGAGGTGGCTGTGGGGAGACAGAGGGCAGGTCAGCACATGTGGCCTTGGGCCCCCCACCTGACCTCTCCTGGCCCTTGCTGCAAGCAGAGAACAGCCTCCCCTCTTCCCACTGCACAACGCACTGACTGGGCACGACGGGGCAGAGCAGGGCAGGCTTATCATCCCATGGACCACGTCATCCCTCCAGGATCCAAGCCTGGGCTGCTGCCTCCCTGGTCAGCACTGCACGGGGCCAGCTGCTGCCCAGGTTTGTGCGCAAGCACTGTGGGGAGTCTGATGGTCTAGCCCTGAGAACGACCCCAGATAGGGGGGCACCTTGATGCTCAGGGTGTTTGACGTGCTCACAGCACCTGGGGATCCCTGCCAATGGCAGGGAAAGCCACGTCACCAGGGGCACCCCATCCTGTCATTTCACCACCTAACCAAGGGACAAGCCTAATCCTGCAGCAGACTGGCCACTCTGTCGTTTCCCTGGCTCTAGTGGACCCGAGGACGTGGTCAACAGGGTAGTTCCAGGGTCCAGGCTGTGTCCCTCCTGATTACCAGCCCTGAGGTCAGCGGCTCATCTGCGCAGGACACGGCCACACTATCTGCTTTTGGGGCATCTGGGAGGAGCCACCAAAGACCCCGAAAGAGCAGGAAGGGAAAAAATGGCCCATTCCCCAGAGCCCTGCTGCAGAGTCAGCCCATCCCTCTGGAGCCAAGCGTCCTCCCCAGACGAGGGTGGCAGGCAAGGGGATTAAAGCCCTTGACTCCACGATGCTCAAACGAGGACTAGGACATGCTGGGGGACAGGGCCTGAGGCCCAGCCTGGCTCTGGGCCCAGCACGGGCAGACTGGGGCATCTCTGGATACAGAGAGGGGTTGCAATGGGGATTCTGGATTCGTCTTCCTTAAGGAAACAAGACCCCCCGGGGAAGGGGAGAACCTGTGCGGCCCGAGAGGAGAGGTGGCAGTGGCTTGCACACCAGTCAACCATCCACAAAAAGGAGCACCCCAGGGCGGCCCCCTTGCTTGGGCAGCACATGGGCAGAGTCCCTAGGAGGAACCAGCACCGGAGGCCTCCTCACGCACCTCATTCACAATGTAGTCCAGCAGCTCGAAGATGGCCATGGCTGGCCGGCTGTCCATCCCGTGACCTACACAGTGGGGGACAGAAGTGGGTGAGACTGGCAGATGACAGCCCCATGTGCAGGTGAAGGTCTGGGGGTGCTGGGCACACTGGGCGCCATCACAGCCACTAGCTTATGACAGCAGCAAAACTTTGGGGAGGTGGCAGTGGCCAGGGTCTGGCCTCTGGCTACTGAGCTTGCTCCTTGGGAGGAGACTGCTCTCCTGAGCCCCCCATGAACTCAAACAAAAAAGCCACAACAAACACGAGTGCTTTGGAAGAGCCACACTTGGCAGTGCCTTGGGAGGTGCCAGAGCCACGGCCCTGCTCCTGAGCTGCAGGCTGGGCGGGGGAGGGGGCCCACAGTAAGGACAGCAGCATGACCTTGCACAGAGCCACTGGTGGTGACAGAGGCAGGCCCCAGATGCCACTTGGAACAGGAAGCTGGCAGGGGGTGGCTGACCCCTGTCCGAGACCCAGCTGGCCAGGTCTGGGCTCAGCAGCTGGACTTTCGCCTCCTGCCTGTTCTGAAATGGGCACGGAGGCCAGGGCATGGGCTGGGGGAGGTGCTGGCAGGCAGGTGGCTGCCATCTAGTGGGGCTGGGAGGGGCAGGGCCAGGCCTGAGGACAAAGACCTGGGAACTCTCCCCTGGAATGAGACCAAGACACCCATGTGGTCTTCTGCAGCAGCACACAGAGGAGGAACGGGGCTTGGGCGATGCTGTCACCTCCCCACATGCCCAGCCATGGGGTGGCTAAACCCAGAGCAGCCCACCCTCAGAATGGAATATTCTTGAGCCCTTAAAATGAGTATGGAGGTACCCGAGGACCTCGTGCTCATTGAGAACCAGACAGAAGAGACAGTGTGTGACCCAGTGACAGGACATGGATCTATGGGTGCAGGGGCTGGGGACGGGATGGGGGTTGCTCCTGGGGACAAGGCTTGCTATTCAGGTGATGGAATGCCCTGGAACTAAAGGCGGCAGGACACCGAGGTGCTGAAGCCCTGAGCTGGGCACCTGCCCGAGGCGAGGCAGGGGGTGGAGGTCCTGCTTCCACAGAGCAGCTGCGATACTGCAGGCTCAGGGCGCACCCTGACTTGGGAAAGACAGGACCCAGGGGTCCAGAAACTGCTCTGGGGCTCTGCTGCCTGTCCGGGACCCTCCCCTACTCTCTCCCCCAGAGTGAGCGAGGCGTCCTCGGGAAGGGTCCCCCGCATCCTCCGGGGCCCCGGTGGTCAAATCCAATAGTCCTAAGGATGTTCCGAGTCAAGGTCTTGGGTTTAGAGCTCCAGGATGGCCCGGCCCTAAGTAGTAGGTGCCTGGGGCAATTCCTGCCACTCAAGTGCACAGTTGACGTTTCCCTGATAAAATGCTGGAGAACCCATCCAGCGACCTGGCCAGCTGCTAGCAACAGCTGCGACACCCCGGGCACACCAGGTCTGGGGCGCTTGCTGTTTCCAGCTCGTCCCCAGAAACCCCAGCACCATGAGAGGACTGCTGACTAGCGGGACGATCCAGGGGGACAGGTGGTGCTGAGGGAGCCAGAGAGCGGCAGCTGCCATCCCGGGCACAGCAGTGCCTGCATGGGTCACACTACCCGCCAGGAGTCTCAGACTCAGGCCATACCGCTGATGGGGCGCCCAGGGGGTCTCGGCCGGGGTGAGGTGCTGTGGGGCTCTCCTTCTGCACCGTTGCCCACGGGCCTGCCGAAGATGGCCTCCAGCTCCTTGGCATCGGGTGGGGGAATGGGGTACCTCCCGATAGACAGCTCCACCAAGGACAGGCCCATGCTCCAGATGTCCGACTGCACCGAATAGTGTGTGCCTTGCAATCGCTCTGGCTGCCAGAGAGACGGGAGGGAGGAGTGCGCAGAGGGCCAGCACCTGCAGTCCAGGGACCGCTGTGACCCAGCCCACTTCCCCTGCCAGGGACCAGAGCAGTGGGAGGATGCAGAGCCACATCCCTCCATGCCCACAGGGTGTGCACGAGGCCTGGGGACTGAGGCCCCCAGAGGCCCACAGCACTGGGAGCTTCTGCAGAGGCTGATCCCCCGCTCTGTGCAGGGCGAGACTGGCTTCTCAGATCCCAGGCCCCCTGCAGATTCCGGGGCACCCAGGTATCTCTGAAGGCACCAAGAAAGTCTGATCTCAGTTCAGAAAGTAGGAAGTGCTCTGGGCTGGATGGTGGCCGACCCAGGCAGGACACAGGACTCGGCTGCAGAGGAAAGCCAGATGTGGAAAACAGACTAGGGGGACCTGTGGGCTCCCTGTGGGTCTGGGTGGGACAGGGGAGGCCTGGAGGGACTTACAGACATGTAGGACCGCGTTCCCACGAAGGAGTTGGCCATGGAATCGATGAGCTGCCCGCTCACCCCGAAGTCGCACAGCTTGATCTCCCCTCTGGAGTTGACCAGGATGTTGGAGGGTTTCACATCTGAGGACAGGGCCAGCCAGGAGTGAGGGGCCATTGGGCACTGCGGTGGCCCGCCAGGCTCTGGGGACGGCACGAGCCTCCTTACCTCGGTGCATGATCTGATGCTTTTCTCGAAGGTATGCCAGGCCCCGGAGAACCTGCAAGGGCCGGGGACTGGGTGAGCAGGACAGGGGCAGCCCCTGCCCTGGCCCCAGCCACATCTAAGTAGCCAGTGTCTGGAATAGGCCATGGCGACCCTGTCTAGGTGGTGTTGACCTTCTCAGGTTTACAGCCAATAGAGGCCAACAGGGAGGCTGGCCTCCAGTGGTAGGGGGCGTGTGCAAACTATCTGGTTCCCACAAAGCCTGTGAGGGGCGTGTTGGTCCCCCCCACTTGAAAGAGGAGGGGCTGGTGCAGAGAGGCAGAGGCAGCCTGGGTCCTAGCACCAGGCTCAGCCCCACCAGCCCCACGGCATCTCCCGGGTGCTCAGGTTCGGGGGTGTGCTAAGGAACAGGTTAAGGTTCCAGCAGAACTGAACAGATTAGGGGTGCACTGGGCTGTTTTGCCAAGGGAAGCCTGGATGGCAGATTCCTCAGGAGGAAGTGGATGGCAGATTCCTCAGGAGGAAGTGGTCGACGATGGTGCCGACAATGGCTGTTTCTGGAATGCTGAGCGCCAGGCCCCAGCATCCCATCAGCCCTCCACCTGAGTGGGCAGGTGCACCTCCGGTCATTTTGTGGGCTCAGACGCAGGTTCTGGGAGCCACATTCTGTGGAGTCACAGAGCGGCAGGATCTAAATCCCCAGGTTCTGCCAACTGTGGGGCTGGGGCTGGGGCCGGGACTCCTGCCCCGTCCCTCAGCTGCCCAGAGCACTTTTGGACAGTGAGGGGAGAATGGGGTCAGAGGTTTATTTCTGCCCCAGGCCCCCCCTTCAACCACCCTGACCAACGCGACCTGAGACCCCAGCCAGTGGTGTCTGCCTGCCATAAGATGGAGGGAAGATGGTGGCCATTCTGCTCATAGTTGTTCAACTGAGACCTTGGCTAGGCCTGAGATGTAGGGGTAGGGACAAGGACAATGACAGAAAATCTTAAAAGCTAGAAAGGACCTGCCACCTTCACCCAGCGGATGGGGATCCAAGGACCCTCAGAAACTTGCTCAGAAGTCCCACAGCCAGTGGAGACAGAATTGGCAACTCTCGGCAGGGCCCCACAAGCACCCCCACGGCTTTGAGCAGCTCGTGGACCCTGGCCATGAGGAAGGGGCTGGCAGAGGAAAGAGCGCCTCAGCTGGGAGGGATGTGCCGGGGTCCGTGGTGAGACTCACCGCAATGCTGACCTTCCCCAAGATCTCCTCGGGGATCCTCTTGGCCTCCTTCAACACCTGGTCCAGGGAGCCCCCGTCCTGCGTGAGAAACAGCTCTCAAGAGCCAGCCGGGCAGTGAGGGCTCCTTCTACTGCAGGAAGGCACCAGGCCAGGGCCAAGCGCGGCCGCCCAGCGCAGGGCAGGGACTCCTTCAGCTGTGGCCTCAGAGGCTGCGGGGCCACATCTACAGCTGGAAGTGAGGAGGAATAGCCCAGGGCACGCGTGTGTGTCCCACAACGCTTTCCAGTGGCCCACAGGGCCTGCTGCTGAGATGCCGCTTTCCTGAAGTCACATGGTAGGCGCTCTACTCTAGTTTCCACCCAAACCCTGACTGGGACAGAGACAGTCCCTAGGAGCTCACAAGGCTGTCTGTGCAGCCTGGGCGGTCGTTGGGAGTGGAACTTGAGCAGCTACCACATTGGCACATGCAAGCCACACACCAGCTTCTCGGGCCCCTGTCCTAGCCAGCACGCCAGGTGTGGTGTCACAGGCAGGAAAAAGGAGGAAGGGCAGGCTGGCTGGGGTCCACAGCCCCACCCTGGCATTCCCATAGAAACCCAAGTGCTTCCATTGCCAGCACCTGTGCAGGCTGCTCCCTGGCCTCCCTCCAGGGCAAGGTGAGGAAGGGCACCTAATCCTATGGGCCCTGGCCCGCAGGAGAGGTGCTTGGAAGGCCAGCTAGGGGACAGAGACATCTGAACTCCTCCTCTATTCTCCCGTCACCCATTCGTCATTGTGCCAGGCACCCTGCAAAAGACCTGCAGATAACCAACACTGGTTAGTCTCCCACCGTGTCTGGGTCGGGCCCCAAGTCCAACAGACAGACGAGGAAACAGAGATTATGTGTCCTTCACAAGGTGCCCAGGAGCAAAACCGGAGACCCAGGGGCTGCCCCAGGTGCCTGGGGAGAGAGAGGAGTCTGGACCACGCTACCAGGCCAGCCCTGGGCACCAGGTGGTGACAGAACCCTGCCAGGAGTCTACCGTTCTTGCCAACCTGTTTTGCAGGACCCCAAAGATGGCTTGGTCGCCAGGACATGCTTCCCTTCATTTGAGGGCAAGAGGAGAAGCAGCAGCCTCAGGGGTGCTGGGGCCCGCTCTGCCCCACTGTGCTGTAGAACACTACAGAACCCTATGTGCTCTGAAGCTTCCAGGACCCACAGGTGACTATCGAGGAGCTCTGGGCAAAGGTGCCGGTCATGTGGGCAGAAGGACAGGTGTGGCCCCCGCCTGGAGAGCTAGGACCAGGTGTGCCAGTGAGCAGGACGACCAGGCAAGTGGCGCAGGAGGGAGTACACATGCTCTTCTTGCCCCATTCCTGCCTCCCCCCTAAGGATTTGGAGCCACCACTGAGCTGCATCCCCAGCCCTTTTTTAAAATCTTATTTTGAGACAAGGTCTCATTTAACTTGCTAAAGCTGGCCTCAAACTTGTGACCCTCTTGCCTCAGCCTCTGGGAACAGCTGGGGCCATGGGCATGACCACTGTGCCTTCCTCTTGTTTGTATCAACTGACTTTAACAAAACTAGAAAAGCAAAAACAGATAATAAAGCTGAGGCTGTGGCTCGGTGGCAGAGCGCTTCCCTAGCACGCATGATGTACTGGGCTGGATCCCAGCACCACATGAAAATGAATAAATAAAATAAAGGTATTGCGTCCATCTACAACTTAAAAAAAAATCCCTAGTAACAGCTCCTTTCATTTTTAAAATTTTGAGACAGGGTCTCACAAGGTGCTGAGGCCGCCTGTGAACCTGCCATTCTCCTGCCTCAGCTCCTGAACAGCTGGGATGACAGGTGTGGCCAGTGCCACCTCTTTTCATTCCAACTCCTCAGAGCTGCAATAAATATGTGCAGGACGAAGAAACAGAGAGCGTTTGCTGGGAGGAGCCGGGGGGCCAGTGGGGTCCAACAGGAATCTCCAGGAATCTCCCCAGTGCACACAAAACCCCTCCGTCTGCAGGGCAGAGGGGGTGGTGGCTGCCTGCACATTTCCCACTGAGGACACTGGGGCCAATCAAATTGTAGTGCGTGTCCTGGGCACTGCAGGGCTCAGCAGCACCCTGGCCTCACCCACTCCATGCCAGGAGAACCCCCGTCACAACCAAAAGGTCCCCAGACATGGTCCACAGCCGGGGGCGGGGGCGGGGGGCAGGGGAAAAGGCAGGATCAGCGCCAGGGAGCCCCAGCCTGCAGCTGGGGAGTGCACAGCCTGCCAGCATAAGTGGCCTGCCTGAGGCACGGGACAGGATGTGGTGGGGAAAACACGGCGCCCAGGTCTCTGTGACACCGATCTCACTCTGCATGACTAGACACTTTTTTTGCATGTGTGTTTTAAATGTTCCTGAAAACGTGTTGCTATTGAGCAAGTAATACACGAATACATTTTCTTATTAGAAAATTCAGATGTAATGCTAGGTGTCGTGCTGCATGTCTGTAATCTCGGGTTTGAGAGGCCAGGGTAACAGGATCACAGACTCAAGGCCAGCCTATCTCAAAATAAGACTTTTTAAAAAAGGGCTGGAATGAACTTAGTGGTGGAGCACCCTGGGTTAGTCCCAAGTATTAAAAAAAAAAAAAAAAAAAAAAAAAAGGCAGGCATTGATCACCCTCTCAGCCCCAGCAGTTCCACCTTCCGGCCCCAAAGTGTGACATACTCTTCTGGATCTTTCTTTTCTTCTTCTTTTTTAATTTATCTTTTATTTGGACATAATAGTTTTATTTTATTTATTTTTATGTGGTGCGGAGAATCGAACCCAGGACCTCGAACGTGCTAGGCAAGCGCTCTACCACTGAGCCCAGCCCCAGCCCTCTTCTGGATCTTTCCATGCATTCACACACACACCAACACGTAATGGGAAATAGAGTTGAAACAAACAGGCTCCCTCTGGCGTGTCCTTACAGCCCCACACACGTGGACTGCACTCGTGCGGCTTCATTCCCCACCACACAGCCGTGCGGTGCCTCCGGATCCAGGGCTGCAGGCTCCTCACTGCTGCGCCTGGGATGCCTGGTCAGGGTTGACCAGACCTCAAGAATGCTGGGGTACCTCTGTGTGGCCAGCACACTACGGCCGCCCTCCCTGGCCCCTGGCCCCACTGCTCACTGGGTTCTGTCTGAGCTTTTCAATAGGTTCAGGCTGCAGAGAAGCAGCCAGCCCCACTGATCCCGAGTCCCAGGACCAACAGGAGCGGTGGTGAGCTGGGCCATGTGCACCAGAGCTGTGCGGCTCACAGCTCGCCGCGGTGTGGAGCTGAGGTGTCTCCTGAAGGCCCAGGGTTAGGGCTCCATCCCCAGCTTGGCACTGTTGGGAGGTGCTGGAGCTTTTACAAGGTGGATCTGCTGGGAGGTTAGGCCACTGCGTGTGGCCTGAAGGGACACTGGGACTCAGTCCCTCCTCTTTCCGTCTCTTGCTTCTCGGCCAGTGGTCTCCCCTGCCAGGCACGCCCCCCGTGGCCTGCTATCAGCACAGGCCCAAAGCAATAGCGAGCCAGAAGCAGCCTCTTCTCTCAGCCCGAGTTCCACAACAGAAAGCTCACACGGCGACAGTGGTCACCTTACAGTCACTAACTGCACGTCAGCACGTTAATCACTCGTTAGATAAAACACATCATGGTCACAATGACGTGACCACATAACTAGGAGTCTTGTCTTGAAAGCCAGACTCCACCAGACTGCAAACAAGCCGTCTGCACGTAAGTCTGCTGGGACAGAGGCCGAGACCTCCCTTTAGATCAGGACACTCCAACAGCCCAGGGACGCTACTGTGGCCTGGGTGTGGTGTGGCCCTCCAAGCCCTGTGTGGAAACGCAGCCCCCCCATGCCAGCACTGTCTGAGCCCTTTCAGGGTCACAGGCTCCACCTTCATGAGGAGAGATGGATGCTTCTCTGGGTATGTGGCAGGGGTAGACTCCCCTGGGGGTGGGTGGCTTCTAGGATAGCGGCTATTAGAAAGCAAGCAGCCCTTTGTGCCTCCTAGCACACCTGCTCGGCTTCACCTCCCCCAGCTATGACTGTGCATGTGCAGACGCGGCCTGTGCTCTCAGACTTCCCCACCTTTAGAACTATGACCCAATGAACCTCTTTCCTGTATAAACTACCCGCCATGGCACTGTTACAGCAACTGAAAACACACTAAGCCAGGTACTAACCAGGCAGACTGTCATGCAACTGTAAGCACTGAGAAATGAAGAGGATGAAGAACAGGACCATGCTGCAGGGCAAGGAGGGTGCTGCCCTCTGTTCAGTGCTCACGCAGCACTGGGTGCTGTCCAGGACGAGCTTGTTAATGCTTACCCAGCAGGGACCCCTCCCTCCCCTGACTGCCCACAGAGAGCTGCCAGTCTTGCGTGAGAGAGTGCATGTCCCCGACCAGTGAGCTCAGCCATGGCAGCCCCAGGACCCCCACAGAGACTCACTCCCACTTCAAATCTACACTCTAGGCTGTGGTCGTGGCTCAGTGGTAGAGTGCTCGCCTAGTATGCAGAAGGCACTGGGTTCCATCCTCGGCACCATATAAAAATGAATAAATAAAAGTATAAAAAAAGATCTATACTCTAGTGACTTGGGAAGCTTAGGCAAGGGGATCGTGAGTTCAAAGCCTAGTTGGGCCTCATCAACTAAGCGAGGCCCTAAGGAACTGAGACCCTGACTTTAAATAAAATTCAAAAGGGCCAGGGATGTGTCTCAGTGGTTAAGGGTCCCTGGATTCAATCTCTGGTACCAAAAAAAAAAAGAAAAGAAAAAAAAATCCACATCCTTTGCCCCGCCTCTTTCTGGTGCCAGGGACTGAACTCAGGGGTGCTCTACCACTGAGATACAGTCCCAGCCCTTTAAATTTTCTTTTTAAGGTAGGGGTCTCCAGAAGTTGCTAAGGGTCTTGTAAAATTGCCGAGAGTGGCTTTGAACTTGAAATCCTCAGCCTCCACGTCTCTGGATTACAGGCGTGTGCACTGTGCCCTGCCTTTCGTCTGAGGTGTGGCTGTGTCGGCCACCCCAGGCTGCCGCGCATGTGCTGAACACTCCATCTCCTACTCCAGCGAGTCTGCCTGCCGTGGAAGCAAAGGGCAGGTCCTCAAAGCAGAGGAGGGCTCGTGGCTCCCTCCTGAGCAGGGGCTGCATGGTGCCTGGCTACAGGGCTGGCCGCACTGGGACCACGTGCTAAATACCCCTCTGAGTGGGGGACAGGAGATGAAGCACCCTCCTTCCCAGAGGGTAAGCAGGGAGCCTCTGGAACCACACCCCAGATAGGGAAGAAGGGGAGGAGGCAGGTCCCGCCCTGGGCGCTTTCTCCTCCCTCTGCCCTCTGGCCTCCCTGCACCTGGGCTTTGCAAGACAGACTCGCTCCTCCCAGGTGGGGAAGGGGCTCCCACATGAGTGGATTTGCTTGGACCCCACAGCTGAGTGGGACTCTTGCTCAAATTCATTTCCTGCCTTAGTTACAAAACTGTTGCAGGGGATGGTGTGCTCGCAAGGCTCAGCCAAGGGGACTTCAGACAACCAGTGCACCTTAGCTCTGCACAGGGAGCCCTGCAGCAGGCAGTCTGGCACCTGCAGCCAGGATGGGGGCCACTCCCCAGGCTCTGCAGCTCTCCCCACTTCTGCTTTTGATCCCACCCATTTCTGAGTTTCCAAACCACAGTATTCGAACAAGGGACCACAGTGAGCCCAACCGTGGTGGTTCAGGTGCCTAGCCCCAGCAGGACTAGGACCCTGGCTCTGGCTGGGTTGTGGGCAGGAGCGCCCTTTCCAGCAGCAGCTCGGTTCTCCATGCTCCCCTGAGCCCAGCCACTGCACTGTGGATCTCGCCCCGTGGTGCTCACTGGCACGCTGCACACAGCTGTACTCTAGATGGGGCAGCTCACAGGAGCAACTTGTGTGTCCCCCACAGGACCAGACAAGGACCACACAGGTCTAGCACACTGGAAACACGGTGCCCCAGGCAGAGACAGGGAATTCTCTCTAGGCTGACCAGGGACGACTTCCCCACCCTCCACAGAAACAGAGCTGAGAAGAGGGTGCCACTGAGAAACAGGACACACACAAGTAGGCCCCGGTGATACCCAAGGAACCCTCTGAAGCTGCTGAGCTGCTGCCTCTGAGGACAGGGGCTCTGAGGCCCCGGCAGGGAGACACCCTCCTCCCTGTGGTTCCTGGCCAGGTGCTCACCATGTGCTCCATGCAGATGCTGATCTCCCCGTCGCTGTAGAAGGCGCCGTAGAAGCCCACGATGTACGGGGAGTTGCACTCATGTAGGACCTGAAGCTCGCGGATGATCTGGTTCCGGATGGCTGGCTTGATCTCCAGGTGGATCAGCTGCAAAGAGTTGACAGCGGGTTACCTAGGGGTGTCCAGAAATGCGGGGGGCGGGGGACTGGTCCCTTGGCCCTGGAATGCACCACAGCATTCAAAACCAACCAAGGACCTTGCAACCCCACTCTGAGGAGTCTGCCCAAGAGGAGAAGCGATTGCCCACACACAACTGGGACCAGAATGTGCACCACAGTCTTCACGGAAGCCAGAGGGGGAACTGCCCCAGGGTCCACTGAAACAAAGCACGCTTCCTCCACACTCTGGAGTGTCACTTGGCCATGAGCAGGAGTGAGATGACACAGCTGCAGTACAGATGGACCTCAAGGACTCATGCTCACTAAGAACCAGACACACAGGGCCAGAGTGGGTGACCCAGTGACAGGCAGGTCTAGGATAGGCAAGTCTAGAAACAGGATGTGAACTCATGGGGGCAGGGCCAGGGCGTGTTGGCTTAACCTTACAGGATTTCTTTGTGGGGTTGTGAGAATGTTCTTGAATTAAATGCAGTGAGAGCTAAACAACTCTGAGTATGCTGTGTTCCAGCCAACTATATACTTTAAATGGGTGAGTTGTATGGTGCCTGAATTACTTCACAACCAAGCTGTTTTTACAATGAACATGCAGAAAAACAACTATGGATTTCCTGGAGAGACGGTTAATCCTGGGGAGGAGGGTTTACATGGGTACCGGGCTGGGAGGGGAGGCGTGATTCCTCATGGGAACAGGTACCTTTTTAAAGCAATAAAGACATTCTCAAATTGACTGTAGTCATAAATGTGCAATGCGGAACGTATTAAAAAAGAAGTCATTAAATGATATATATTTTTTTGAAAGGTGCCTCTCTACAGTCTGTGAATTACCCCTCCATCAAGCTGTTAAAAAAAAGGACTTGACAGAGCAAACACTTTCCACTTGGGGAAAGTAGGAGCTGTTAAAAGAAGCCCCCCTCATCTCCCCCTGGGCCCCTGGGCCTCCGACCCAGCAACAAGTCCAAGAGGGGGTGGTCACTGCAACTGTCCCCTCAGACAGGGGTGGGCACATTTTGAGTCCCTTCTTCTTTCAGGCTGGGACACGACACCGAGGCCCGGGGAGTCTACCATTCCCTCCGCTGAAGCTCCTGTCGACAAGCTGCAGACAATATTTCCAAAGGCAGGAAGATTGGGATCTTCCCAAGAGATGCAGAAGACAACGTAAGATGCCAGGAGACCCCAACTACCTACCCCCAGGGAGCTCTCGCCCAAGCCCAGGCAGGAGCTGCAATCAGAGTCTGCGTCCTGGCCGCTCAGAACCTCAGACCTGGGAGACGAGTCGGAGACGAGTCCTCTCATCCGCTAAGCGAGACCAGGTGTGCACGTCTGAGAACAGCCGCTATCAGCTCAGCGCACACTTGCGGAGTCGCTGTGGACGCCAGCAATCAGAAGAAAGACCAAGAGACCCCGCTCGGGGAGCACGAGATGCCAGGCTGGAAATGCAGTCAGGAGACCTGGCACGCGGTCAATGCAGTGCTCAGGGAATGGCAGCAAGGTGACACTGGGCTGGGGCCCAAGGAAATTGAGTTTGGGAGCCACCACAAGGAAGAGCTGGGGAACAGCTGCCTGTGGGAGGGCACCCAGGCAGGAAGAAGCACAAGGTGCTGGGTCCAGGGGCAGAGAGAGGCTGACAGTGTCCCCAATCCAGGGAGTGTATAGGGAACGCTCCCTGTGACCTTGAGGACCAGGTCTTTCCCAAAGCTAATGCCCACGCTGCCCCTCTGCTGCTGCTTTTTCAGCTCTGGCTTTGGGTCTCCGGGACGCAGCATTTTCACCCTGCCCTTCACAGGAGGCCACTGGATTACCCCAGAATTCAAGGACGCTCGTTACTCTGGAAGGATGCGGCAGTGAGCAATGACCAGTGTCTGCTCACACTTATGAGGGTGACAAACAAGCATGATTGTAAAAACCCAGAGGGTGGCTTTACTGGGCCTTCCAGATTGGGCCTGGCTGCTTTTCTGGCATATTGCACTGGCTGAGAATCAAACAGACCAGGGGACACTGGCTGCAGAGTGGGCTCGCCAGCCCCAAGGCTGCCCTACACCTTTGGGGGTCTGCACTGGGAGACCTGTTGGGGCGCTGGCTCCCGTTCAATCTGTGCCCTTCAGCTGCAGTGACGCATGTAGATGGGAAGGTCCTGGGCTCCCATTACTACCTGGCACGAGAGGGACACCCAGAAGAGTCCTTGACTGGTCTGAGAGCCCTTGCTCCCTTGTACTTGTACTGGGACAAGCACACTGTCCTCACATTAGTGCTGTGGGGAAGGTAGGCCCAGATTGCCAAGGCTGCTCTGAGTTTTTTAAAAATATTTATTTCTTTGTTGTAGTTGGACACCTTTATTCTATCTATCTATCTATCTATCTATCTATCTATCTATCTATCTATCTATCTATCTATCTTTTTATTTATTTTTATGTGATGCTGAGGATCAAACCCAGGGCCTCACACATATTAGGTGAGTGCTCTACTGCTGAGCCATAACTCCAGGCCTGCTCTGATATTGAAAAGTCTGCCAGCAGAAAGGAAACAGAAATAGCAAATCCTCAGCTGTAGATTTCAGGGGTGCAGGGAGGTGCTTTAGAAGCAAGAAGAAAGAGCCGGGTGTGGTGGCACACACCTATAATTCCAGCAACTTAGGAGGCTGAGGCAGAAGAATTGTAAGTTCAAGGTCAGCCCCAGCAACTTAGTGAGGCCCTGAGCAACTTAGTAAGACCTGTCTCATCATAAAAAGTAAAAAGGGCTGTGAGATGTGGCTCAGTGGTAAAGTGTGCCCCTAAGTTCAATTCCCAATTCAATTAATAAATATCCAATTAAAAACTATGTATGTGGGGCTGGGGATGTGGCTCAAGCGGTAGCGCGCTCGCCTGGCATGCGTGCGGCCCGGGTTCGATCCTCAGCACCACATACCAACAAAGATGTTGTGTCCGCCGAAAACTAAAAAATAAATATTAAAATTCTCTCTCTCCCTTTCTCACTCTCTTTAAAAAAAAAAAAAAAAAAAAACCTACATATGTGAAGAAAGAACGAGCCTCAGAGCTAAATTCCCACAGAGACCAGGAAAGGCACAGGGATGCGGAGGCCCACACTCAGGCAGGGGCAGTGACTGTAGGATGACAGGCTTCCAGAACAGCGGGCTCTCCCCATGGGAACACACATGCTGGAGAAGCAGAAGTCTGTCCACACAGAGTCCCTAGTTAGGAGCTCCCATCTCCAAGTGGTCATGCCTTGGTCTCAACTCCTTTCACCTCCTGGGGACTCCAGAGAGGCTGTGTTGCAGCACCAGAGCCAGGATGAGCAGGTGGGCAGGTACTGTCACACCAGGGTGGACAGAATCCCACAAGAGGGGGCGATGCTCAACTTTGTGTGTCCCCTGGCCTGGGAACCCAGATTTTGGTCAAACACCAGTCTTGACATGACTGGGAAGGTCTTTTTCAGATGTGGGGAGCAGATAAACTTGTAGGTTCTTAGGTAAACCAGGTGACCCTCTGAGATGGTGGGCCACATTCAATCAGCTGAAGGTCTCAGGAGGGAACACTGAGGTGCCCTGGTAAGAGGGAAGTTGGCCTCAGCCAGCCCTCACACTCCAGCCGGAACCTCTGCTCTCCCTTGGCCTCCAGGGTGCTGGTTTGCTTTGCACATCTCAGACTAAAATGCCCACAACCATGTTAAACAAGTCCTTAAAACAAAACCCCTCTCAGGCTAGGGTGTGGCCCAGCAGTGGAGTGGAGTGCTTATCTATCATGTGCAAGGCCCTGGGTCCCCTCCCTTGCATCTCAAAAATAAATTTCTACATATACACATGTGCATGCATACACTATTAATTCTGTTTCTCTGAAACCTATGACCAATACACTAATTTCCTGAAAACCCTGCTTGTCACACTTCTGGACCCAGCCGTGCACAAACCAGAAAGCTTCCAGGAAACTGATTTCTTTCTCTTTTTTTTTGGCGCTGGGGCTGGAACCCAGGCTCTGGCACGTGCTAGACAAATGCTCTACCACTGAGCCACTCCCCTAACCCCAGGACCTGAACTTGAAACCTCCCTGAAGGCAGAGGTCAGCCAACCTGGGAGGGTCCCAGGCAGCAGTAGCACTGCTGAATTCCAACTACAAGGGGGCTTCCTTGCACTCAGGGTCCCTGGAGGGGGCAGCTGGACAGCAAAGGTCCCACTACCTCTCCAACCTCTCTCATTTCCTGGGGTTCTATTCCCACTCTGCTACCTGCTCACCTTTCTGGCCATGATGAGGCCCGATGGCCTGTGCTGGACCTTCGTGACCACCCCGCCATTGCCAGCTCCCAGCTCTGAGATCCTTTCAAAGTCGTCGTCCTTGAGCTCACCAACCTTGGCCTTCTGAGTCAGGAAGGCCTCTAACCGCTTCTTTTGCTGCTCGTCTAGCTCCAGCTCCTCCAGCTTCTTCTGCAGGTCCACCAGGTTTGCCCTGTGGAGTTCAAGGGCACAGATCAGCAGGGGGCATGTTGAAAGGTGGCAAGATGACTCCACCTAGCCACGATCACAAGCAGCCATGTGCCAGGCCAGAGGAAATCAAAGGGACAAGGGCCTAATGCCAGATCTCAGGGATCACCATCTAGCAGCAATGAGACATGTGTGCACCCCCACCACAAATGCAGGATTGGAACTGAAGGCCAGACCCCTACTTGCAAATTTCAGGAAAACTTGGGGACAAGCTGCAGCTCAAGGGACCCAGGAGGTCTCTAGACCACAACAAAAAATGAAGGAACTGGGGGTCAGGACACGGGTCTTTACCAGGAACAAAGGACTAGCACCAAGGGGTGGAAGGCAGAGGCTGCATCAGCCACCCCAGCTCTTCATAATTTTGAGGCAGCCTCACTAAGGTGCCCAGGCTGACCTTGAACTGATCACTCCAGTCTCTTGATGGGATGACAGGTATGAATCACTGTACCCAGCCCCTGTATTATTTTAATTTTCAAGAATTAAAGACCAGCACTTGAGGAGAAGGGGGAGGGGTGCAGACAACCCCAGGGCATGCTCCTCCGTTACTGCAGACCTCCTGTGTTGCATGGACACTTGTGGTCCTAAACTCAGTGCTCCTGCACCAACTGTCTACTGTACTTTACTGGGCACAAGCAATTTTCAAAGGAAATATTGACGAGCTATTTTTAGGAACGCCTTGACTTTCAACCTGATCCTGGAGTAAAACACAGCTTCCTGTAACAGGTAGATACTTTAGTTCAATGATAATAAGACCCCAACACTGTCCAACAGAGCAGGAGGAAGTCGCGCACACAATTTAAAAATTTCCTAGGGCAGAGAGTATAGCTCAGTGGTAGAGTGCTGGCCTAGTATGTGCACAGCTCTGGGTGCCATCCCCAGCACTGCAAAAAATGAAAATAAAAATGTTTAGGATATGTGTTTTAAATGGGAAACAGGTGAAACTGCTTTTAATACGATATTTAACCCACCAAAAGCATCATTTTCTTTTTTTTTTTTTTTTTTAAAGGGGTCAATTTTTTTTTTTTTTTTTAAAGAGTGTCAATTTTATTTTATTTTTAAAGAGAGAAAGAGAGAAAGAGAGAATTTTAATATTTATTTTTTAGTCATTGGCGGACACAACATCTTTGTTTGTATGTGGTGCTGAGAATCGAACCCGGGCCGCACACATGCCAGGCGAGCGCGCTACCGCTTGAGCCACATCCCCAGCCCCAAAAAAGCATCATTTTCAATGTGTAATCAACATATGAACATTTCTGAGTATTTACTTCTTTTGCATTAAGTTTGAAATCTAGAGGTGCACCTCACACTTACAGCTCTCCTGGACAACTTGGATGTGTCACTGCCAGGGCTGGCTGCAGCCAGGGGGAACTGGATCAGACGGGGCAGCTCTAAGTGAAGGTCTCTACAGGAGACTGACCATACCCAGCAGTGCACAGCCACCCACTCAAGAATGTGTTAAGGGCTGGGGACGTGGCTCAAGCGGTAGCACGCTCACCTGGCATGCGTGTGGCCCGGGTTCGATCCTCAGTACCACAAAAATAAAAATAAGCACAAACTTATTGGGCACCTGTTGAACAATGACCCGAAGACCAAACATCAAGATACTGACTCATTGCAGAGAGAGAGAGCAAGGAAAGAACACCAACCAATGAGCATGCTTACTCGCTGTGGCTGAAGAGGCAACTCTGGGCCAGACTTCTGAAGGCCTGGGACATCTATGATGCACCCTGAAGCCACTCAGTAGTCTACCTTAAATGTAATGGGAACTCAATTGGGGTATGTGTGTATGTAAGTACAAGACGTGTCTGGAACCCGAGGCCGGTGTCCTCCACTGGGGAATCAATCCTTCAAAGGATGAACTCCAGAAAACGTGGAAGAAAATACGCAGGAAGAGAAGGATAAGGGGTGGATTTTTAAATGTCCTCTTGCCTGGCTGTGACGCTATTAGCTAACACACATGTGCATGGAATCCCCACCCCTGTCCAGGCTGAGTGGCAAGACCAGGAAACACAACATACACTCGTCCCCTCCGTCCTCATGGGGACACCCTGCCCATCATAGAGAACAGGAATGAAGAGGTCATTGTGGCACGACCTTCCAAGTGTGTGCCCCCAACACATCAAGCCCGTCTCCTCCTCACAGGACACGATTTCGCTGTAGAGTAGATGAAGTACCCCCATCACCCCTGAAGGCATCCCTGCCATCCCCTTCCCCTGGTTTCTCTGCAGCCCTGAAAACCTGTCACCCTCCAGGGCCTAAGGCCTTCTTCCCTCCCCACCCGGCCTCCAGAGGCTGTCCTAATCTGTTTGCTTCAGAACCTGCTTTCTGGGGTCTCATCCCTGCCTCTGAATGCCCCCATTCTTGGCTCCCCTGCCTCTTTCCTTCCTGGGGGCATCCTAAGCACTCTCCCCGGCTTCAGGGGCCTCCCCCACCCCAACTAGCAGGACCTTTTCATTATGTTCTTGGCCTCAGGACCCTTCCCCAATCCCTGAGACCCCCCACATCCAGACTTCTGAGGGACCATCTTTTACTAGGACTTCACCCCTTGGGTCGTCCCACTACCTTTCCCCACAGGGACTCAGGACCCCTTAGCTGGTCTTGTCACTCGGGCCACCCCATCACCCTGACTGTCCTCGAGAAACCTCTCAGCCCAGTCCACTGCGACCCCCTTCTGTTCTCAGGGAGTGCTTTCATCCTCATTTTATTATCTAGGGACCACCTAGATGACAGGTGGTCCCACTTTTTGGTACTCAGGGGTCTCTCACCCTGTCTCTTCCCATAAGGGCCACCCCTTGCCATAAGCTCAGTAATTCATCAGGGACCCCCACCCCATCCCCTCCTCCAAGGAACCCCCACCTCCTGCTCTCTTCACAGGAATCCCACCCAGCACTCTCCTCTGGGACCCCCTCCCTGGCCTCTCCACCAGAGGACCCCCCCATCTCTCCTCCAGGAGACCCCCTCCCTGGCCTGTCCAGCAGGGGACCCCCTCCCTGCAAACCCCATCACCAGCCCTGCTCCCGGGGACCCCCTGCCTGACCTTTCCAGCAGGGGTCTCCCTCTCCCTGACCTCTGCTCCCGGGGACCCCACCCCCGCC